ACCAGCTACAAGCTTGGAACAGTTTTTTTGAGACATAATTGTTGGGTAGCGGAGTGGGTGGCAAATGGCCAAGTAGCGATCTAATGCCATGGCTGAGAGGAAGAAGCATTCAGTGCCACCAAATGAAAAGAAAATGTAGAACTGAAGGAAACAGGCTTGGAAGGAGATGATTCCTTGAGGAGAAGCTAGATCAAAGACCATACGGGGTATGGAGGAGGTCACATAGCACATTTCCAACCAGGAAAAATTTCCCAAGAGTGTATACATGGGCAGCTGGGCCAAGTGGTCATCTAGATGTACCAGAGTGATAATAGTGGCATTTTCAATCAAAGTAATTATGTACATAAAAGTGAAAAAGATGAGGAGAAGAAATCGCTTTTGCTCCCCATGTTCTAAACCCAGCAATATGAATTCCGGGACCGTGCTCCCATTGGCCAGCTCCATCTGGAATCAGAAAAGAAAAAAAATCAGAATCACACATTGTTAAAGAAGTGCCATCCCCAAATGTATCAACATGTTTCCATCCAGGAGCTAAATATGCTTACATATGGAATAGCCAAAATCAACAAGAAAGGAAATATTCTGGCATTACTCGTGGATAAATAATCCAAAACTGGTGAGTTTTTGTCAGAAGCCCTATCATCACACTGTTACCAGCAGGTTTTGGGTGAACATTCTATGAAATGTATCTTCATGAAACATGGAAGTTGGTGCTGAGTTGACTTATGAAATCTGAGCTCCACACTGCTTTCTTATTCTTCTTTTAAAATTAAAGTTTTACAGCAAACCTCTTCAGTTTATTCATTGCATTTTCTGTGATTTGGTTCTGGATTTTTTTTTAGGAGTTTGCAAGGATATGGGAACAAGATTAAACCAAAAAGGGATACTGAACGGTTGAATGAACACCCAGTTGACATCTAAAGGCTCAGGAAGTGGTCTGAATGATATAAGCTTTCTAGCCTCTGCCTACATATTTGAGAATCGCCACCCCCAAGTTGGGCAAGAAGACATTGGCAAGTGCATGGCATATTAACATTTACAGAGTCAGCCATAGGCTCTCAGATGTGGCCCTGAAATGCTACCATTATTGTAAATCTGTATCTGAATTTATAGCTGATCATTGCTTTCAGATTTTGTAACAGTGATTTCTAGTTTGGAATGCTTATATATTGTGAAAACTAAGGTAGATGAACAAATATTGATTGATTCACAACTGGAGAATAGGGCAACCAGGTTCAGATAAGCTGGGACTGTATGAGCAGAATGGTGAATAATGAGAGTGGAGAGCGAAAAGGGAAAATGCAAGTTAAAAAGAGAAAAGAGAATAAGCATATGGTTATCTTTACCTCTAAATCTTTAACTCCAGGAATTAGCAGCAGTCCCGGATTTACCCATAGTCTTCAATTAAATTGATAATTTCTACAGATGTATTTTATGGTTGATTGCACTTCTAACCACCACAATTGCTCTTAGTAGTTTACAGTAATAAAGACAACCAAGGAATAAGAAAACATCCACCATAATTTTTTAAAAAGATAAATCCATAATATAAGCATTGCTGCAGAGAGGCAATGCCTATGAACTTCTATACGATGTACCTCATAGTAATGGGCATTACCACCACTTTCTCCCCAAATGCAAGTGTCAGGCAGGTCAATTCTGGGTGGAAAAGGTGTTACTGTAAATATTGTGGTACCAAGCCTTATAGGCTTTTATAGGTAATGACCAGCAGTTTGAATTACACTCAGAAGCTAATAGGAAACCAGTGTAGGACTTGGAGCACATCTACTGCAATCTGTATTCATTGAACCTTCTGAGTGGTCTTCTAGGTCTGTCCCATATAAAGCACATTGCAGTAATACTACCTTGCATGAGTTACTGTTGCTGAGTCCTCCTGTTTCAGGTAGGGCCACAACTGGTGCACCAGCTGAATCTGCACCAAGCCCCTCCTGTACATAGCCTCCACCTGGCCACGAAGAGGTAGCCTTGAATCCAGGAGGGCACCTAGGTCACGGACCTGCTCTTTCAGAGGCAGAGCTGCCCCATCAAGGGACAACATCAAAGCTGACAGCACCATTTCCCTCTGTTGTTATTTTTGGCTATCTTCTCTCACTTCGACAGCTGATTACATAGTCAACTTTATCATAGTGACTTAAAAAGCTTGTAGGCTTGCCATTTCATCCTAGGAAGGAGAGAAATGTATTCAGATTGAAAAATGTGGCCTTCCCTTTCAATGCTGTTCCATGTGGAAGAATTATCAGAGGGACTTCAAATAGCATTTCCTAGAGTCTGTTAGGATGTTCCTCAAACACTATTATTATCTCATCATGCAAAAAATGATGAAGCCCAGGAAGCCCAGCTCACATACAGTGCATTCATTGTTCATTGAACAGAATAAGGCAGGTGATCTGAAATATACAAAGGTGTATGGAACTTCTTTATTTCCTCAAAGGCAGTCCTCAAAGGCTTTTCAAGAATGACAAAGAATGGACAGGAAGTTAGAGACAGGAATGGGAATTGTATACATCCATTTGTGGCCCTCTCTTAAAAGAATCAAAAGGAAATCACGTATAAACTGGAAAAATAAAGCAAATATATCAGTGGCATTTTCTTCTAACACGGAATCATAACCAAAATCATGATAGAAATGTTAGAATATAAGTCATGATCATATCATTCTATGAACACCTCATCCAAAACCTTAAGCTTTTGACCAGAACTTTGGAGCTTAGACTTCTGCACCAAAGTTGAGATATCTCCATCCGATCAAAAGCTGAACTGCGCCATAATGGACCAGAGCAGAGAGAAGTACTAATATCCATACAAACCTCACCCCAGCACTTCAGATATAGACATCCAGGTCTTGTATCCTGTGGGTTGTAAGCCCAGGCTTAACCAGACAAGTAGTCATGATGAGAGAAGAATGAGATTGGAGGAAGAAGAGGGCAGGGAAAAATGGGAACAACTGACTAGAGCAGTGTTTTTCAACCTTGGCAATTCGTTATGCCAAGAATTCTGGGAGGTGAAATCGACACATCTTAAAGTTGCCAAGATTGAGAAACACTGGATTAGAGGGTCAAAATCTCTCCAGCTACTTCTTCTCTGAGTGATTCAGTGATTCCCACATAGTGAATAAGGGAGTCACCGCACTAATTCATTAAGGAGTGAGAGTTTGTGAAATTCTCTTTTGCCCCCTCTCCTTCTCCTTGCCTTGCTGTCTTCGAGTTTCTCTGGTTGGAAGACTATATCCAGGGATTTAATTCCAAATTTGAATTAATTCAGATTTAGTTCTAAATTTGATTTTATTTTCTTATAGGAGATCTGGAGGAAAGAGTACACAGTGCTAGATGCTTTTGCTCAAGGAAATAGGGAATAGGGAGAAACTTTGATTAACAATATTTAGCTCTACCAAATTACAGGCATTATTCACTAAACATGCCTCTTTTAAGAATGGTGCAGTCAAATTTAAGAAGGGCAGCACTGGTCAAATTCAATCTCTGCAGTGTATTGCTGGTAAACATCTCTCTCCCTCCTAATAGATTAAAGATCTATGCCCTGGATTTGGATGTAGCATAGTTATACTGACAACTGTCCAGCCTGAAGCTCAGCAGATCTTAGGTGGAGACCTTAATGACAGCGGGCCAAATGACCCAGCCCTGCATTTATAATTTCGGCAGCATCCTCGATGCAACAGCTTCTTTGGATCTACATTAATCCAAAAATGGGAAATAAAATATCACAAAAGATTTTCTGGTGCCATTTAACAGACAAGGGGATGTCTCCATTACAAATGGAAGCATTTGTGGGAATGGAAGATACCTGGGAGGTTACTTGTGAGGCTAAATGTAAACTAAGCACCGTACATAGCCATATCTCAGAAACATTTAAAGCCTTTGGTAAAAGTTATTGCTGCTTTCACTCCAGGCAGGTAGTGATCCCTTACCATTAGCTCTGTTCCTTCACCCAGAAAACAGCAATGAGTGGTAGAGTCCTTGTTGTTCCTGTCAGCTGCAAAGGAGGAATCAGAGAGAGGCTGCTTGACATAAGATGGTCAGCCAAAATGACCTCAGTCTGGGCTGAGGTTTTGAATTGCTACAAGCATGGTCCAAAATCATTGCTTTGAAGAATGAAGAAAAGAAAAGAATAGTTGACTGAACACCCTTTATTCAGAAGAAGCAGTAGACATCTTTATGAGCAATTTCAAAAAGCGTAGAAAAGGCTACCTGGATGTAATCAAGAAAGGCAGCAAGAGTAAATGCCCTTGATAAATATTTCAAACTTACAGCAACAGGAATTCCCTGTTGCTGGAGTTAGATGATTGGCCACCACTCACAGCTTCAGAAGGAGACAAACTAATTAGGACAATCAAACCCAGAAAAGCCCCAGGAGGTGATTTATAATTCTTAAGCTGAACTCTTCTATCTGGTGGGCACACCAGTCCTGGCCTCACTTCACTTATATCAAAAAATCAACTTATATATCCTATTGGGGGGGGGGGGGTTGCCATAATTGTCCAGGAAGGGTAAGAAAGATGAGTGCCTTAACTAACCCTGGGTCAGCAAGCTCTACATGATATCGATTTGTAGTTAATCCTTGAAGCTCCTAGACTTGCAGGAAGTTGGAAATACCTTGGCAGGTGAGCAGGCTAGCTTTAAACCAGAATGGTTTACTTTAGATCTGAGCTCAGTGCTTTACCATCTGATCCAAAAGTAGCCATTTCTGTTGCTTTCATAGACATTAAAAGAGCTTTAATTCAGTAACTAGGAAAGTATTTGATACAAATTCAAAGTCTCTTCAATGATTTGTCATCTCCTTACCTTCTTATTTGCATTACACCACAATATCTCTCTGAAAATAAGGTGCAACCCTGTAGAACAGCTTACAGGAGCAGTTCAAGCAGAAAGGCGTGTCTATAAGGATGCATCCTTGTCCCACTCTCAACTTTTTGATCAAAGCTACAGGAGTATTTGACTGAGGAAGACCGATGGCTCCTGAAGTTAAATACCCTCAAGAAATCTGTGGCAGTAGTGATACTGGAGGTCCAAGAAGCCCAGAATTTCTAAGGAAGACCATTAAAGCATTATAAAGAGGTCGCTCACTACAGATCAACTCTGGGGAAACCAAGGTTAGATATTCCAAGAAAAAGCCAGAATTTTTGTCCTGGAGTAAATATTTAGATTTGTTGCAAAGTATAGGGAAGTTAAATTCCCATATTACTCATGCTTCCTTAAGCACTGAAAAGAGTTCATTGTCCCTTATTTCCTTCTTCTAGTCTAGAGGTGCAGAGCATTTCTCAGCTATAAATAAACCTTAATAAATAACATATTTGAGATGTAGGCAATGATGCAACTCCTCTGCAGAACCCAGCTAACTCCTGTGACACTAGGCTGAAACTCACAATTGCAGCCATGAATTAAATAGGAACTGGACACATGTGCAGAGAGGACAAAAGCTAGAAACTTGTCAAAAGATGACTTCAGAAATATAAAGACTCAAGTCATGAAGAGCCAGAATTTATACAAAAGAGATGCTATCGGAAGAGGAACTAAGGGAAGCTGGATGTGAAGCACAAGGAAACCTTAATTCCTTTGACAGCTGCCAAATTAACAAATCAATGAAACAAGAATATTTAGGGTAAAAAGGTGTCCTGGGCAACACCAGATATTTGAGTTGTTCTGCATCCAGTTTTGGCAGCTTCTGTTCTTCTAGCTAAGAGGCCAGAGTTGAGTTGGATTTGGGTAAATGGGGTGTGAGTGAGAACGAGTGAGTGTAGGCACAATTGCATAAATGAATCAACAAAGTTTTATTGTGGCCTTAAATTCAGAGGGTCTCTGTGTATTCCAATATAACCTTGATTGTCTCAGTGCTTGATTGAAAATGGTTTGTGAGTTCTTCTCCCTGCTGTCAACCAAGACTATAAGATCCACTTGCCTCAACAGATTGCATGATTGAAGCAAGCAATCTTACATAAAGTACTTTGTAACACTCCATGGATTATTTTTTTGTAATTCTGAGGTGATCAAACCACGTTTCTAATAAAGTGACAGTTCATATCTGACCTTGGATGGGGTGGCACTTCCTCATTCAAGGGTGAGGCTCAACTTGAGGGTCTTCCTGGATTCACAGGTCCTGCTCAATGGGTGTGTGACAGCTGTGGTCTGGAAGGCCTTTGCATAGCTTCATCTGGTTCACCAGTTGTGCCCTCTCCTAGATCAGGGGACCCTTTAGATCATTCATGCCTTAGTCACTTCAGGGCTTCACTACCACAATGCTCTCTATATGGGGCTGCCCTTGAAGAACCATCCAGAAGCTTCAGCTGGACCAGAATACAGGGGCACAGGCAGTGATGGGCATGCCTTGGTATCCCCATATAACACATCTGCTTTGCGAGCTGCACTGGTTGCCAGTTTGCTTCTGGGTGCAATTCAAGGTGCTGGTTGTTACCTATAAAGCTTTACTGGCGTAGGACCTGGTTACTTGTGGGAGCTGTCTCCCACAGTATCTGCCTGCCCAATCTGATCTGTCATTGTTGGTATGCTCTAGGTTCCTTCAGGTAAACCATGCTATCTATCAGGACCCCAGGAGCGTGCCTTCTCTGTAACAGCCCCTGCCCTTTGGAAAGAGGTTCACCCGAAGATTTGAACAGCCCTCACCCTATTGGTGTTTCAAGGGCCCCTATTGGCTCTTCATCCAGGCCCTTGGTGAGGATGACTGGAGCCTTCTTTAACCTTGATTGATTTCCTTTGTTCCCATCCAGTTTTGTCATCCTGACAGCATATAGATTTTGATGATGATGATGATAATGATGATGATAATGATGATGATAATGATGATGATGCTAGGTTGTTTATGTGCACTCAGCATACAAATGGGGCTAAAGTGGGTAGAAAACCGAATAAGGACAAGCACAGCACCCTCAATGATTGACTTTAGCTTAACATTTTATGCAAGACTTGAGCCCTCTGTTAGGCAGTTGGGGCCTATCAAAAGTTGAACCCACCTATGTTATGGGGAGTAATAGGCTGTTCTTTGCAATATATTAAGTTCCTTTTTCTTCCAAGTCAGAGTGGAGTCCCAGCTGATCTTAAAAAAAAAACAGTTTACCTTTTTCACCATTTCTCCTTATCCACGAACAACATACATATTTTCTAATAGTTATAGATCTTGTAGGCAACAGGTCCCTGTGGACAAATTGCAATGCTAGCAAAGCTTTCCTAGATATTGCTGCTCTTGGGTTATGAAGATGGCACAGCAGAGCTTAAGCAAAAATTCTGAACAGGGAAACCCAGATTGAATTTAGCCCAAATTTATCAATAGTTGGGCTGGAAAATCATAAGAATCATTTCCCACCAGTTAGGTACCTCAAGCAGCTCACACTTCCCACATAACGCAGAGCTCCCACACCAATGCGATTTGATATCTTGTTGTCATCAGTTCTTGAGAATAAATTCAGAAAGGTCCTCTTTGCTGAAACAACCCATTCTTGTGTAATGGTGGCCATTGAAACATTGGCCCATATCCTATTATAGGGTGACTTTTAGAGAGATTCCCATAGTACTCTTTTTAGTGTCAAACAAGATACTAGAACCATGCTTGTAGCTAAATAATTTGCAGGATTTGTTCAGTATTAATCATAGATTAAGCTATAGCAGACCTCTTACTCAGCTGATTTAACATAAGGGAGCAGCAAGATCATTGTAATGTGGTTTGCAGCTCCTCTATCTATAATCTATCTTCAGGGATGTTCTGATGTGTTATTTCTGCTATATTTTGTTTTATCTTACATTCTTTACTTTTATTATTTCAATATTGGTCAGGGTCTTTGTACAAATTATTTAATTGTTAGGTCTGTTACCGGGATTATTCATCTGATTGAATTACTGACGTGTTTGTTTTTTATGTGTTTATTCTGCCTCTGCTAAAAATTATTCCATTGGCTCTTTTATGCTACTTTTAACTTTTGCCTCCTACTTACATTGATATTTCATATACTATACTACTCCTCCAACCTCAAGTGAACATGAGGGAGGAGGGAGGATCCCTATGGATCTCATTCATTTAGATTCATAGTACTTAAATAAACAAGTGCTCGCTCTTTGCTATAGACAAGGAATGCTAAAGGATTTTGTCTGGTCTGTATTTTTAACTGAACCAACCTACTTCACATTTTCCAGATGATTATGATGATCAGATTGAAGTCAGATGATGCTCATTTCAAATTTTAAAATGCAGTCCTCTGCTCAAATAACAAAAATGCGTCTTAGGGAAGGGAGTAGTTATTTTAAAGGTAATTTGACATCGTTTTAAAAATTAAACTGCACACTGATATGGAAATGTGTCAGAAAAGGCACGATGATTTGCTTGCAGTTTAAATATTCCAGAAAAACAGAAACAGTCATATGATTCATCCTGCTGTGCTAAAGAGCAGACCATCTATTTCATTTAATTATGAGGTAGATATTATATCATTATTTAACCAGGTCATTCCAAAGAATAGGCCAGCCAAAACAGTGACGAAAAGAATGAGGGCAGCTAAAAATGGAGCTTAACAAAGGATAAAAACAAAGAGATAAAAACGATTTACATGTATTAATGAAGTGCAGAAGAACATAATGATTCCTTACTACTGGATTCCAGCCCGCTAGAAAATTTAAGTAAGGGCACATGTAATCTGCTTCTAAATTCTGTTTACTACAGAATATATTAATTTTGGCTAATCATAAAATACAAGGGAAGAGGAACAGTTCATACATCTGAATAAATTCCTTGTTATTTTTTCATGCCCTCCACTCCAACTGATTGTCAAGCAATTTAAAGAGACAAATGAACTAAAAATGTAAATAGGTGTTATGTAGGGCAGTGATTTGTTTCCTTCTTCCTCGTGTTCATATTACATCCTCCTTCCGCAGCCATTGCTCCATTCTCCTCAGCACCCTACCCAGAGCTTCCTTCACTCGATCATTCCTTAGACAATAGATCAGTGGATTGAGAAAAGGAGTGACTGCGGTGTAGAAAAGAGTAACTATTTTAGTCACTTGCAGATGATTTTCTCCACCTAGGTGTACATACATGCCGATTGCTGAGCCATAGTAAAGGGCAACCACCAAAAGGTGCATAGATATGGTCGAAAAGGCCTTCTTACTACTTTGTTGGTTAGAGAACTTTATCAGTGTGAGAATGATAGTGCCATAGGAAAGAATCACAAAGACTAAGTTGCCTAATATAATTAGAACATTCATGGAAAACTGAAAGATAAGGGGAGCTTTTGGAAGTGGAGGGCAGGCTAGGGCCAGAAGGGGGCCTTGATCACATAAAAAATGATCAATGATATTGGGGCCACAGAAGGTCAGCCTGGAGATCAAAGTCACTGGGACAGCATATCCCAAGAACCCAGCAATCCAGCAACCAGCCACAAGCTTGGAACAATTTTTTTGAGACATAATTGTTGGGTAGTGGAGCGGGTGGCAGATGGCCAAGAAGCGATCCAAGGCCATGGTCGAGAGGAAAAAGCATTCAGTGCTGCCCAGTGAGAAGAAAATGTAGAACTGAAGGAAACAGGCTTGGAAGGAGATGATTCCTTGAGGAGAAGCTAGATCGAAGATCATACGGGGTATGGTGGTGGTCACGTAGCACATCTCCATCCAGGAGAAGTTGCCCAAGAGGATATACATGGGCAGCTGGGCTAACTGGGCATCTGTTTGTACCAGAGTGATGATAATGGTGTTCTCAATCAAAGAAATTATGTAAAGAATAGTAAAAAAGATAAGGAGGAGGAACCGCTTCTGCTGCCCACCCTCCAAACCCAGCAAAATGAATTCCTGGACTGTGGTCCCATTGGCCAGCTCCATCTGGAATCAGAGAAAAGAGTAAAAATTACAAATTGTTAAAGAAGTACCATTTACAAATCTATCAATATGCTTCCATCAAGGATCTAAAAATGCTTAATTATAGAATTGTCCAATTAACGAGAAAGAAACGTTCTGGCATTGCTTGTGGATAAATGTTCCAAAACTGGTGTGATTTTATTAGGGATAATTCTACTACCTCCTGGTGTTGGGTATTACATCCCTCCCAACCAGGAATGGCAAATGTTTTTTGATTCATTTACCAAAACAACACCCCCCCCCCCCAAAAACAGCCTCATTTGTCAAGTGAGATATTGAAATACTTTTCCTTATTTTCTAATACAGTGACAGCTTCACAACCTGTTTAGGGTTACTGTTCCTTAATACAATTAATAATATTAATTGGCAGCACACTGCCTATTGGGGGATTGTGTTTTTTTTCCTATCAGAAGTTAGGTGGGATCACAAGGAGTTGTGTAAGGATGAAGTCCACCTTTATTTTATCAGTTGGAGTGACTGACAAGATCAACTTTCCTAATCTTTGGTTTGTGATGATACCACTTAACATAAAGGACCTCAGTTGGAGGTCTCAGCTAACAATGAAATTAAGCAGGAAGGCTGTACAATGACAGCTGTTTTTAATAATAAAGGCAGCACCTTTGAAAGAATTTGGAATTACTCAATCTTTGAGCAAGCTGCCAATCAAAGATGCTAGCAAGGTTGAAGCAGCCCTAGGAATGGGCCACAGACATTCCTGGGTGTTCTGTTTCAATTTCCTTTGTCTTGAGCTCTTTCTCATATCTACGTTCTTTCTTGCTTTGTCTTCACAATTTCCTCTTTAAAGATTAAACCCTTATATTTTGTCTTTCTTTCAACTTTTAAAAATGGGTACATGCAGAGTACAACTGAAGGCATACCCAATATTTTCATTTTTCTAGATGTTGTCTTGGGGAAAATGAAGAGTGATCAGGGTAGCAACTCTGCTGAGTTAAAACAAAAAACAAAATATGTAACACTAAATTTGACAATATTGGATTAAGGACATAAGAACAAAAGGAATGCCCTGATGGATTGGGCCCCAGCCCATCTATTCCAACAGTCTGTTGGAACGATGGTCAACCCAAGTGCACAAGGAAGCCCGCTAGTCTCCCAGCAGATGGCCTTCAGAGGCGGTCCTCCAGCCATCAAGGCTAGTAGCCATGAGTTAGTTCAACCCTTTTTTGAAACCAGCCAAACTGGTAGCCAGCACTACATCTTGCGGTAACAAATTCCAAAGTTGAATTAAGCATTGTGTAAAAAATAAATAAATAAATTCCTTTCCTCTATCCTGTTTCTTCCAGCAGTCAATTTCACTGGGTGACTTCTGGTTCTAATATTTGGGAAGGGGAAAATAGCTTCTCTTTGTCTACTTTATCCACACTGGGTGTAAGTTCATACAACTCAATCATTTCCCCTCTCATCCACCTCCTTTGTAGACTAAAAAGCCCCAAATGTCACAACCTTACTTCATACAGAAACTGCTCCAGCCCCTTGATCATCTTAGTTGCCCTCCTCTGAAGCTTCTCTAGGTCCACCATATCCTTTTGAGGTGCAGCAACCAGAACAGCACACAGTATCCCAGATGCAGTTGCACCATTGATGTATATGGGGGCATTATAATATTGGGATCTCTATTTTCTTATTATCCCTGACATGCTGTTGGTGTCCAATAGTCCAACTCTGTACCACTGTTGCTGATCAGAATCCTGATCTAACTAAAAATGAAAAATTAGGCTGATTGCTAAAAGCAGGGCTGCTGCAGAGAATCATAGTACTGCTGATCATTCCTTTTTACTCATTTCTATGATTCTGAAAGAATCATATCAAAATTTTTAAAAAATAGAAGATTTTTTTTTCTCCAGAAAGTGGGACAATCTATCCCAACCCATATCCTTTACCATGGTCACAATTCATTTTTGTTTTTTTTACCTGTATTGCATTTAGAAAGCTATTTCATCCAGCAGAAGTCTTGCTACAGTAGCTCCACTGCAGTATGGTGTGAGGACAATGTCTTTTTTGCTGTGTCTTCTTCTGTTAATGTGGCCATAGGTGCAGAAATCATAGACAAAAGTGAATAGCAACACCTTACTTGCCTCCGATCAGTATTTCTTAGCCTTTGTGAAAATGTCCCTCAAGATCACTTCATTATCCTCCAGAATAGCATCTCATTGGGGACTGTCACCTTCTTCGAAACAGTCATTTTTTAATTGTAAATACTTTCTGGAGTTCTTTGTTAAGCATAAGAACTTTGGAACATGAAGATTTTACTTTAAATAGGTAGCAATTCCCTTCACTTACATGTTGTCGCTGTACATTATAGTTCTCTTTAGTTTTTTGTGTGTGCAGAAGTGTTGATGTGTGTCACTTCAAAGTTGGAACCAGAGTGGAAACCAGCACCATCTACGTGATTCAGTATCCTTGAATCCTTTGTTAAATATGAGTTATTTTGAACATTTAGATAGAGAGATGCAACACTTATAGAGGAAATATCTGCTGGCTTGGAGATGAAGTAAAAGCAACATTCTGTTTGGAACATTGTAATAATTATGCTGATCTGAAGCAAAAGTTACTGATGTCAGAGCTTTTAATGGATCTGTTCAGCATTTTATCTTGGTATTCAGTGAGTTTTTTCCCCACTGAAATACAGTATACTGATCTTCCTGCTATATAGTGAATCTTTCCCCATTGGACCCAACATTACATGGTGTCATTTTCCCTATGTTCCATCACACTGATTTCATCTTGCCCCCAATCCATGAATTTAAACGGTCTCTAGTGATAGTGCTGTTAGAGTAAATCTTTTCTTCCTATGGGCTTTCTTGCAAAATGGCTGCTGTGGGTCTTGATGCTTCACAAAGTCATAGCCCTGGGAGATATCATCAGATATCAGCACTGATATATCAGAACACAAATGGTCACTCCCTGGTTCCCCAAGCAGCAGGATGTTCTGCTTATATTTGTTCTTTTTCTGGAAATACAGTGATACCTCGGGATACGAACGCCTCTGCTTGCAAATTTTTCGGGTTACGACCAACTCGGGATACGCCCAGAGTCACGGAATGGATTAAGTTCGTATCCTGAGGTACCACTGTACATTATCTCCAAGAAAAGCCCTGGGATGCATCATTCTCAT